CTCCACTGAGATCTTACAGCCTAACCTACAAGTGAGTGCAAGGCTGGCCAGAACTCCAAAGTGAGACTAGGTCTTTAAATCAAAAAACTAAAATGAAAAAAAAAAAAAAAATAAACAACCAAGGAGAGAGAAAGACTATTCAAACAAACAAACAACAACAAAAAAAAAACAATAATAGAGCTGTGTGAAAGTTGACTTCTCTAAAATGGAAATTATTGAGTGATGCAGCAGAGGAAAGAAATCCATGTAGTGGCATCCAGGAGGCTGTGACCAACACAGACTTAGGAATGGCACCTATTGTGCTACAGTACAACAGTGATTCCTTCCTGCAATACATCTGCAATTCACTAGACTGAGTACTTCTAAAAGCTCACGGAAATGTTAAATCCATGGCAAACAAGCAGCTTGAAATCCAGGCTTTGAAACATGCCTTTAGCAGACATTTCATATTCAAATTGAAATAAGAGAAATATAATCTTGCCCTGTTTGATGTCAAATGCACCAAGTTTAATGGCTCACAACATTGAAAAACGAAGTCACAAACCAAAAGAAGTTCACAATTTTCTAAAAAAAAAAAAAAAAGAGAGAGAGAAATATAGCCCTGAATTTTCAGGAGTGGTCTTCAGCATTTGGCCACAGACCTATTGTCAGGAGTCATTTATACAGGAAAGTCACAATGTGGGTACAGTGTGGGTCTCAAACTACAATCAACATATTAGCTTAAAGCTGCTTAACTAATATTATTCAGCAGGGGGACAATTCAGCCAGAAAATGTATGTGGAAAGAGCCAAGGCATTTTGTGGGAACAATAGTCCATTTGTTCTGGTCTTTGAGTATGGTAATTGAGGCCTATCTGAATTCCCTGGAGGAGGTGGTGGTAACTGTAGTACATTTCAAGCTGTTGTTTTTCTCTTCAGGAGTCATGTAGACATGTTCACTGCATATTCACCTTCTGCATTTCTTCAGCTGTGCCTGTAGCAGTGACTGTTGTATTTAATTTTTTGCACTGACTCTTTGAGGTTCCAGTTCCTCTCTGATTGTATCTCAATTTCTGTCTACATTGACATCCTTCACTAAAATCACAATACTATTTGAATGAATAAAGTGATGTTTATACATTTAAAAATATTCATTAATACAGGCCAGGGATTTAGCTCAGCAGGCAGAAACACCTGTCTGGAAAGTGCTAGGTGGTTACTTTGATCCCCAATACCTAAAAAAAAAAAAAAAAAAAAAAAAAAAAAAGTAATTTAAACTGCAAGGAAAGAAAATAATTTCATTTGTGAAAATGTAGGTTTAAAAAATTTATAACTAAATATGTAAATGGCAAATTAAACATTGTTAATAGTCATGTTTAGTATCTAAAGTAGTTGGGGCTGGGGATTGAGCTCAGTGATACAGTGAGCTGCCTGGAGAGAACAAGGTCATGAGTTCAATCCCTCATAGAAAAAAATAATTCACATTGTCAATGATGCAGTGCTATGAGCACATTTATTGAGACTGATACTTGTTAATTGATAGGCTCAATGTTTCTTTTGTGGTCTACAAAATACCTGCAGATTACATGGCGATTACCATGAATGATATACTGTCCCCTATAGGATTGCTATTTTCTGAGTTGTTTTTATTTTTTGTTTTCCCACATACTTGAAAGTTGAAAATGTTGGCTGGTGCTAGGTAGAAAAACTGTGATAATCATTTTTTTTCAATTTAATGATATATTTCCCTATATTTTTTAAGAACATTTTATTTGCTACAATTATTCCAAGTGAAATTGATAAACAATTCTTAATGTTACAGGCAGCTGAGTTAGTTAGATATACAGGCAGCCATACCATGTTATAGTAGAATGAAATTCCTGAACTTCTATGTCTGTTATGAGTTTGTGTTCTCTAAAATGGAAGAATGAATTTTAGAAACAACAGAGGTGAAAAGCAGAATATATGTATTGAGAGAAAACAGGTGAAAGTGTTTTGCCCTCAATAGGATATTTTGGCAGTGGAATGAGGAACCAGGAAACTTTTATCTTGAGATCACTTTCCCCTCCCCTATGCAACTTACCTGTGTCCAGAAAAGAGTCTCAATCAGGCACCTGTATACACCAATGCCACCTTTAAGCACCACCCAAATCAAAAACTATATGTGTGCCCCACACATTTCCAGAAGAAAAAGCCAGAACCCCAGTGGTCATGGGGTTCTCTCCCTGATTTTAGAATAAAGGCCGTTTTGACTTTATATGCTCTTCTTTACTACACCAAAAATCCTATTGGAAAGCTTCTGTCTGAGAGAAAGAGGAGGGGTTCTGAGCAGGTAGCTAAGGGCTCTGTCTTTTCTAGGGACTTTATAGAATAAAATCATGTGGTGAGATAGGTATAAAGTGGGTTAGATTACTGAGGTTAGTGAGGAGGTAAATTAGTACATTAGAGAAGCAGAATATAAGAAATGGAAAAGTGACCTTTTATTTAAAGAATGTGGAGAGGTTCCCACAGCCACCAAGGGTTTGGATTCTTTTTTTCTGACTGACTATGGGGTTATGGGGTATATGTGACTTTTGACTGGATGTGGTGCTTGGAGGGGACAGTGATGTCATGCAAGGAGCTGATGGAAATTTTCTTTAGGCCCCTGGGAAAGAAAGAGGAAGTTGTAATCAAGGAGAAAAGAGGAAGTGGCCATATGAGTAAGCATCCCTGATTTCACCTTCTTCCACCTTGGACTACAACCATGAGGTCCTGCAATTGTTTCTAGCGCAAAATTCTTTCAAGTACATCCTTCGGTTTGAATGAAGAAATAAAAAAAAGAAATTTTGCTATCTGTCTTCCTCCATGGCTGGTGGTAAACCATGCATAAGAAATATTTTGAGTCATTTCTTTAATGCATTGTTGATACCATAACAAAAATCACAGGTCAGTTCACTTTCAGAAAACAGAAGCAGCACTTGAGGCAGGGCTAAAGCCCTTCAATGCAAGTATCACTGTGATGGTGACATCAACATTGTAGAATACAAACTACTGCTGATTTCTCTGACTTCAAGAAAGAGAAAATTTATACTGATATTGCTATAGGGGAATGAATCTCCCAGTCTACTATGTCTGATATGGGTTTGTGTTCTCCAAGGTCAAAGAATGAATTTTAGGAACAAAAGAGATTAAGGGAAAAATACACTTATTGAGAGAAATAAAGCTGCTTGAGACACAGAAGGGTTTCTGAGCAGGTTGCCAAACACTGTTCTTTCTATGGACTTTATAGAGTAAAATCATGTGGGGAAATGAGTTTAAGGTGGGGAGAACTAGGAATTCACAATGCAGGTGGGCATAAGATGGGACAGAGCTATGGTAGCCAATCAGATTATAAGTTCAGGTAAAGTTGATTAAATTGGGAACAAAGGGGGAAGGGAGTCACAAAGAAAGCATGCATTCTTAGGCAGCTGTGACTCTTCACTTAGGGGTTTCTGAGGGTGACTCCTGAGTTGATCAGGATGATAGGAACTATTTAGAATGTCAGCCTATAAGATAAGGATACATTTCTTTGAATGGTGACTCCTGACTTCCTCAGAGGGCTATGGAACTATTTAGAATATCAATCCTTAGGATAGGCATGAATTTGCTTATCATTTGTCTTGAAACCAAATTTATATTTCAAAATATTGCTTAATTATATTAAGAACAAAGTACTCAAATGAGATTTGAAGAGACATCATCTGTAGTCTATCAAAGGGATTGATGAGATATTTTTATTTTTTTAATTTTGAAAGTGGTGAAATACAACAGAACAAGACAGAATAAGGCCACCTAAGATTATACAGTGAAACTGGTACAGAATTTCATGGCAGGTTAGTGGGATAATAATAATAGGTATCACAGTATATTTCATTATTTTATAATAGTTGTTCTTTCAATCACATATATCCAAATGAGATGAAATACAGAGCATTATAGAACTTATCAAAACAAAATATTGAATAGAGCAGTGCCATTATTCAGAATGGAGCAAAATAGTAATAAAAAAAAATTTGCCTTCCAAGAGATAGTAGAAGGAAGTCTCCCTTATTTGCTTTGGTTAACTTCCCAGGAGACGCTCATTTTTCTGGTTCCCATTTGCTAACAGGAGGATGATAGGAGAAGAGGGGTAGGGGAAGTGTGATATTTGATTCTAGGATGTGAATCAGTATAAGTAGGTTCATTATTGCTTAGCAGGGAGGCAGGCTGGTTGTTTGGTTTCACAGCGTCCTAAGTTCCAAAATGGCGTGGATCTCAGGAGCTGCTGTTGGTTCTCCCCATGAAGTGCTGCAGTCTGCCAAACCACCACTGCTTACCAGGGATGGCAGGTGCTTGCTTGGCTTCCCAGTGTCCTAAGTTCCAATATGGCATGGATCTCAGGAGCTGCTGATGGTTCTCCCCCTGGAAGGGCTGCATTATGCCAGACTGCCACAACTTAACAGGGAGGGGATGTGCTTGCTTGGTTTCCCAGTTGATTGATGAGATATTCATCTGCCTCTGAACTTTGTGGATGCTGGTCCTTCAGGATTCTCACTGTGAACTCTGCTTTAGAGACAGTACACAGGGAATCTTGCAGTGACTGAGCACAAGAATCAGTGCTCCTATTTGGCTCTTAAATTAGCAGTGTGTCGCAATCTAGCATCAAACTTGCTGTCTCCAAAAGTGTGTATATTCACACAATTAATGACCCAGACATGGAATTAAGATTTGAATGAATCAGTCTCCATTCAGCTGTTCTGTTTGGTGTTATTTGTTTAGCTTAGTTTTGTTTTATAGAGACAAGCATTCTTTATGTATATCAGCTGGATTTGTACCCTGTATGGAGCCTAGAAATCTCCTGACCTCACCAAAGAGCCCCTGTCTCAGCCTTGTGAGTGCTGGGATTATAGATATAGACCAACACATTTTGCTTTTGATTCAGATCTGTAGGAGAGAATTTAAGATATACCAAACCTGGTGTCTCAACATTCTTTGAGGAATATATGTATGATCCTTTAGGAGGTGGTGACCTTTGAGGATGTGGCTGTGAACTTCAGCAATGAGGAGTGGACTTTTCTGAGTCCATCCCAAAAGAACCTCTACAGAGATGTGATGGGCGAAATCTTTAGGAACTTGACTGTGATAGGTAAGCATGACATCTTTTTGTTACTCATGTTGTTAGAATGTTTGTTGCTCATCACTGCTGTTCCATTAAAAGCAATGTGAAAATATTTTGAAAAATAGCTCAGGCCTAGTCACATTATATCATAAATCTAAAAAAAATCTATTAATTTGTATTTATTACTCTAATCAATACAGGTATTTCTATGTCTACAATTCAGGAAGACTTTGGGATATCCAGGAAGCTGAAAAAGAATGCAAAATTTACTGGAGATACTTAAGGTAATTCGCACTCACAACGGGAAGGAATGTTCCTGAGTGATTAGTTTGTGAGCAGAAAAATGACAGCCAAAGAAATGAGGCACCATTCAATTTAATGTCAGTAATATTCTCCCAAGATGTATAAGCCAGGGTATGTATAATAAGGGAATTAAATCATAAAAATGTATGACATTGCATATAGATGTGTGCAAAAGGCATACACTTTGAGTTATGAAATTCTGCCTCCCGTTTTTCTATCCATATATACTTGCAAATACAACACATTCTTTATCTAACAATTGCTAAGATTGCAATAGAATTTGAAATAAAACTGAGTGCTCATGTTTCCAAGCCATGCTATAGAGAATCAGCCATTCTGATTAAAATTCTCAGTAGGCTGGTGGAATGTTAAGTGCATTCATTCTGAATATCAGTATGCAGTTATCTCTAGAAGTTGATCCCCTTATACTTGTCCTGGATATATTTTTTAAAACACAAAATCCACATAAAATACAGATACATGCTTTCTCATATACAAAGTAGATCAAGTTATAAGAGACCAAGCCTTGAAGCAGCTTAGCAATCTATAACTGGATTTGTGGAAAAGGAAACTGTTAATAGACTGTGATTCTGCATTCTTGTAAACCCAGCACCCTATGAATCAGATTTTGCAGAATGGCAAATTCAAGTTCAAACTTCACAGCTTAATAATCAGTGAAAATCTCTTAAAATAAATATAAAAGCTAGAGATTTTATGCTAATACCTGTTGTTCATTCCCAGCATGGAACATAAAAACGTGTTATATAATGTCAAAAAATAAATAATATAATGTCATTTATGATAAGAAATGCGTGAGTCGTTCTCCCATCAATTCAGTGAAATAGCTCAGATATAAAGTCTAAAATGTCACAGGGTTTCTTTTAGATGAGAAACCAAAATATTAATTGTGGTATGAAATGAAAGAGATTGATAGTGAAAGGTAACACTGACTGTATGGAAATGGGAATTACAGGTTAGGGACAGAAAGGAGACTATGATTGAGAAATGTATCAGAATGATTTCTCTGTGATACACATATATACCCATGCCCAAAGTGAAGCTAAATATTCTGCATTTCAAAAGGTATCAAATTTTAAGATTTCCAAATGTGTACTAGTGTTTTGGGAATGGTTGTTTTCAACATATCTTACAAGGCCATTCTGTTGCTTCATTGTCAGAATTTCTTAGCAAGCATTAAAAGCAGAACTTCACGTTTATGTAGTCATTAACACAGAGACCCATTTCATTGTGATTTTTTAAAAATATTATGTAAGGAAAGACTAAACAAAACAAAATAAGTAGAAATAATGCTACTTTCAAAGTGAAAATAAATGGTAAGAAATAACTAGTCGATGATTTCTTATGTGCTCATAGAAATAGTTAATCAAGATACAAAAGTGAAACATATGAAGTGGGGATTCAAACAGTGAGACTGCAAACAGTTTTGTTCGACTCTCCAACAAAAACTTAGTAATATGGTTATCAATCCTATATGTGATTTTTTTTTCTTTACAGAAATGAAAAGCTAGGGAAATCCTATGGACATACACCTTGGAATCAATGTAAAGAAGTATTCCTTTGTACTGCAGAAGGTAATGTGAATGTGAAAGAAACAGAAAGACACAACAATGTTCAGATCCATAAAAAATATTGCAGTGGAGGTAAACCCTATGTATGCAAGCAATGCGGTAAAGGTTTTACCACACATGGAATTTGTAAGAAACACGAAAGCATTCACAGAGGAGAGAGACTCTACATATGTAAAGGGTGTGGGAAAGCTTTTACAACATATACATATTGTTAAGCAAGTGAAAGTCTACACTCTGGAGACAAACATTATAAATGCAAGCACTGTCAGAAAGCTTTCAGCACATGTACTTATTGTGCAATCCATGAAAAACTTCACAGGCAGAAATTGTATATATGTAAGAAATGTGGGAAACCTTTTATCAGTAACATTCATTGTCAAATACATGAAAGAATTCACACTGGCAAGAAACCCTATGTATGTAAGCAATGTGGAAAAGGTTTCACCCAACCTGGAAATTGTAAGCAACATGATAGAATTCACACTGGAGAGAAACCCTATCTATGTAAAGACTGTGGGAAAACTTTTACCACACGTGGAGGGTATAAACAACATGAAAGAACTCACACTGGAGAGAAAACCTATGTATGTAAGCAATGTGGGAAAGCTTTTACCAAACATGGACATTGTAAGGAACATGAAAGAATTCACACTGGAGAGAAACCCTACATGTGTAAGCAAAGTGGGAAAGTTTTACCCTACATGGACATTTTAAGCAACAAGAAAGTTGACACTGAAAATTAATCCAGTGTATATAAGCATCGTGAGAATGGTTTGAGCCCATGTACATATTGCATAATGCATGGAATCTTCACACTGGGCAAAAAAGTTATATATGTAAGGAATGTGGGAAAGGTTTCAGCAGAAACACTCATCGTCCAATACATGAAAAAATTTACACTGTTGACAAACCCTATGTATGTGAAGAACATGAGAAAGCTTTCACCACACATGGATATTTTAAAAGACATCAATGACTTCACACTGGTGAGAAACCCTATGTATATAACAATGTGGCAAGCTTTTAATGCATAAAGTCACTGCAAAACATGTGAAAGAATTCACACTGGGAAGAACCACTGGCTATGTAAGCAAGTGGAGACACTTTCAGCAGCCAGAGCCATGTATTTCACTTACATGAAGAAACTCACACAACAGATAAATCCTATGTGTTATGGGAATCCTCTCAGCATACATGATCATTGTTACATATCTGAAAGAGCTCACTGGGCTGAGATCGTATGTGGATTAGCAATGTGCGATATATTAGCAATCCATATTTGTTGTTAAATACCTATTAAAAGCGTCACTGGTCAGACAGTTTAGATCTAAGTTTACTTTAAAATTCCCTAGGAGACCTGAAGAAATAATCACAAATTTTCCAGAAATGACAAATCTGAGGTGGAGCTCTCCTCAAGTGCACATGTTGCAAGGTTTTCAGTTAATCACTTGTACCTCTCTAGATTTTTTAAAGTGTCTTTGTGCTTCAATATGGCATCTTGTAATTAAACATGTTAAACTGAAATGTGCTTTTCATTTTCAGGTATGGATAGTTACTGTTGTAGTCAGGGGTGTGCACAGAGAACAATTGGATCAAGACAAATGTTTATAATATTATTTTTATAATAGTCACCGGGAGTTAACACAGGAAACTGCAGGGAGTCTATCCACAGTCTTTACATACATAGGGATTCTCTCCAGTGTGAATTCTATCATGTTGCTTACAATTTCCAGGTTGGGTGAAACCTTTTCCACATTGCTTACATACATAGGGTTTCTTGCCAGTGTGAATTCTTTCATGTATTTGACAATGAATCTTACTGCTAAAAGACATAGATTATTTAGTCAAGAGCATAAACCCCATAGCAATGTCCCACATGAGTCCAGATAAAAATCCAGAGCTCAGGACAATGCCTACTATTAGTCCAACTGGAGGTCCAGAGCACAAAAGAAGGATTCATGGAGTGTCTTTTATGGATTCATGCTGGAAAGACTCAAGGGTCAGTGGTGGAAGCTAGAAAGTCTATCCCAGCTGGATGATGGAGCTGTGCTAGTGGGATGAGTGTTCTATGCTGGAGCTGAGAAGTCAAACTCACAAGGAACAGGTCTATTCTGAAAGGCACCACAGCCGTCCTCAGTGACACAGAGGCCCAGAGCTCCTCCGATGAGAAGCACAGTTGAGTACATGCCTGGAAGCAGTGTGATGAGCTCATTCTGGAGACCAAGCAGCACATGTCTTCCTATCCAAGCCCTTCCCAGCCAAGAAGTAATGCTCAATGTGAGGACCAAGGCTTCTTCAGGAGAACCAACAGCTCAGACAGCAACTCGTAGGACAACCCACAATGCTTCCTTAATGCCTCAACCCTTATCACCTCCTTTGTTCTCCTCGTATTTATCCTGGCAACTTACCTCAGGTGGAACACCTTTGCTCAATGCCATGCTGATGTAATCCAGCTGACATTCAGTTGACCACCAGTTCTTAATGCAAAACAGTATCTATGTACTTAATGTTTTGTCTTTAAAACTTAATTTTCATATTTTTGGTGAATTGTTATGTTTTTGTTTAAAGAGAAAAAACAGAAAAAAGGTAGAAATAACACAGAATTTCAAAAAAAAATAACAAGAAATCACTAGTTGATAAGTTACATATTGTCATCTTAGAAATAGTTGTTCAAGTTAAAAAATTAAAGCATACAAAGTGGCGTTCAAATAATGACACTGTGAACAATGCTGCTCAATGATCCAATAAAAACTTAGTAATATGCTTATCTTTCCTATGTACTTATTTTTTAATTTAAGGAGGGTAAGATTAAACATGACAAAACAGTACAGAACAGTTCATAAGAAAACAAGTTAAAGAAACACAGATTTCAAAGCAGCTCCACTGGAGATGTTCACTGTTTATCTTACTGTCTCTAGTTTTCTTTTAAATAGTTGTTCCCATATTCACACGCACTGAATATATACTGAACATTATAGAACTAATCAAATAATTACAGGATGATGCAGGTTTTTTGGTCTTCAAGAACTGATTTTGGGGAAGTTGATAATAATTACAATAAGGCCTTTCACTCTCTTCGTGGTAGCTGTCTTTATCTTTATGTATGCTGAAATTCAACATACGAGACTAGACTACTGTCTTACTTACTTTTTACTCATCGCTGAGACAAAATACCTGAAGCCCAAAGTTGGGAAAGGAAAGGTTTATTTCATAAAATTCTTTGAGGTTTCAGTCCACACTTAGTTGGCTCCAAGACAGGCGGGCATGGCTGGACCACAGTTCATGGCAGCTGCCAACAGCAAGCTCAAGCCAGAAAAAGAGAAGGAGACACCTTCCTGCCATTACATCACATCCTGGCTCCACCCCTTTGTGGGTGGAGCCCTGACACCTTCAATCCAAGCACTAGATACTGAACGAATAACAAATGCACAATTCAAATTTATGAGGCCTGGGGGACACAGACAGAAACCATGACAACTATTATCACTCTGAACAGTGAATAATAGTATCCTGAGAAGGAGAAAGGTGAGGAATTGCCTAAAAAAAGAAGGCAGAGGGCATTGTTAAAATTGTATCAGGATTTAAAAGCTACAGTAGATTTATTGCTCTGTTTAGTTTGATTATATTTTGTTCTGGTCTGTCTACTCATATTAGATTTGAGGGCACAGACATATAACACAAAAATATCAGGTTATACCATGGTAACTATCCTTAATTTCTTATTAACTTAAACTGAAACCCTACATTACTTACATTGTCTTACTATGACTAATATTTGAAGCTGGTTTGTCTGAATGCTATTTGGCCTTGACTGATTTTATTCACATTTGGTATGCTTGCTGGTATCAAGTCTAAGAGTAGAGGCAACTACTCTGAAGATGACAAGATGTAAAAGATATGCATTGGGGCGCTGGGGATTTAGATCAGTGACTTAAGCACCTGTCTGGCAAGTGTGAGATCATGAGTTTGATCCCCAGTACCAAAAACATAAATAAATAAAAGATATCCATTCCAGGTTTGATTATTAACTGCTTTCACATCATACAATGTCTTCAAAGTTGTTTTTATAAAACTAGCTATGCAATCTTATGCTTAACTATATAATGCTTGATAGTGTGGAAAACTCTATTGATAATAACAAGAGAAAGCATAGAAAATACTGTACATCACCCAATATTGTGGTCTTATATGTCTTTTTCATATCATGATTTTATACGAATTTGTTTTGTTGTCTTGTTTTGATCTGTTTTTCCCAATAATACAGAAAGGATTGATATATACAGAGATTCATACCTGGGAAGAATTTCTAACCTATTTATGGGAACAAGTTATATAATACACGATGTAATGAACAGATACTCTGAAGAAAAGACACTAAGAACCCCAATGCAAATTCTGTAACACTGTGATATAAAATTGAGCAATACTATTAATTAGTCTAGTCACTTATTTGTTGGTGAATTGTAATTTAACACTGCATTTGCTTTAATCTTTTGATGCACATGCTTCACTTTCTCTTCCATAAATGATGCTTCTGAAGTGGATGAAATATTTAACACTAAGATATACATTTATAGAGGCTTGGAGCATGTGGTTTTGACAAAGTTGTGTTCTTTTCACATAACTTGCACATTAATGAATGTTATGTTTTCCTTGTGGTGACGAGACAAGATATCTGCTGATTCCCTAACATCACTGGACATCATACCATGTACATTATGTTGGCTGATTTTCTTTCTCAGTGGCACCAATATTTGTCATTTAACTAAACTGTTGTTTTTCTACCCATCAGAATTTTAGCTGTTATGTTTATATTACATTTTTACTTTGCCAGTAATGTTTCTCCACATGTACCAAAGTAAACCATAGTACTGTGAATTTCTGATTGGCCCATACTGACATAACCATAACTTGTCTCTAACGGCACACCACAAAATATATTAATATCTCCAGAAATTATAAAATTTGGTATGATTTATGAGTAACAATACTTTGAAATCAATTTTCTTAAATGTGAAGGTGTTTTGGGGGAAAAGGTTGCTATTGGATGTATCATGCAAATGCCTTTATTTTAGTCCTTGATGCTGTGAATGCATTATATATTTTGTAATTATTACAGCTTTTTCCTAAAACACTGAAGTAATGGCATGAAGGGAAACCTAAATTTTGAGCTGTCAACACAGTAAAAAGTAAATTTGCTAAATTAAGATTCAGATTGTGTTCTGTTTTACTGAATTGTGAATTTATACAATGACATATCTCTTTATTTATAAGGACCAGTGCCTGATATTTATGGTGTGTGCTGATTATCTTTAAACACATACACTGGGCCATGAGTCCCAGTTGGTTTCCTGTGGCCTGTGGTTTTCACTTCCATTTTTACATTCATGTAATTTGTAACATGTTTAATGCAGTGTTGTTGAATTCAAAATCTGCTTAGGTTCCAATGGTATTATGTTTTGAAAATATGTGGTGTCATGAAAACACAAGTGAGCATTTCATTAAATACCCCTAATCCAGTGAAGATAGCTTGCCCAAGTCTCAATTATCCTTGGAAGAATACAATACTCACCTGTTGTGTAATCATCACTAAAACTATATCTATTTTTTACCTGAAGTACCTGACATACTTCATAAAGTAAAAGACACTGTAAACTACATTGTTAGCCTGTATGTACAACAGCATGTGGCCATATTCCCTGAAGCACATTTCTGGCTTACCATCAATGGGAAAATTTGGAGTTTGTATTACAGCTAATAATAGAAGACTGAATCTATAATACATATATCCTGAGTACATGTACTTTCTCATTTCATCATGAAAGTAAATCTTGCTGGTCTTGTTGATGCATGCTTGTAATCCTAGTACCTAACAGATCTTAAATTAGTGGAAGAGGAATTTGAATCTAACCTACACAATTAGTGTGACCCTGTCTCAAAATATATCTTCAAGTTCTGCAGATGTAGCTTAATGCTTTAGATCTCCTCCCTTTCATTCCCAGCATCAACATTTTTTAATACAATTTCACATCAATAGTTGTCCTTTTATCACTTGGCCACCTAGTAGTTATCCCCAAGAATCACTTGGGAAGGTCATTTGTTTATGCAGTGACCATCCTGAGCATCATTGGGGCAGTTGTCAATTTAACCCATTGATTCTTATATTGAGTATAGGAGAATTGTCACTTTTATATTACTTGTTATTTTATAAAAACTAAGAAAATGTATGCATTTTTGATCATTTTGTATTTAAATAATTGCATTGGTAAGGAGTTACCTATAAAGATTGGCTAATGGTGATTTCTTTAGTCCCAGCATCAGGAGAGAATGAGATGGGATGATCATGGCTTTGAAGCTGACTTTGGGTGGCAACTGCTAGATGATTTAGCAGAGTGTGAAGCAGTTGTTTTTATCCCTGCATTTGAAGTTTGAGGAAACAAGTAAGTTGAGGTCAAGAATAAAAATGTATGAAAGAACAAAAGAATCACTACTGCAAATTGTGATTTTTCTTTCACTCAGGAAATGTACTTTTATTGTAATTTGTGCAGCACTATCAAATATGCCTCTATTAGAGTAAAACAGTGAAACATGAAAGAGCCAGGCATTCCATGTTCTGAATGTACAGGTATTAAAAACATTTTTTTTAATGCTATTGCTGCTGTTTTGTGTAGAAAATAAGATAGGGTGACAAAACAAGCAAAAAGGACTTTGTAAGATTTTAATCCTTCTGCATAAACATAGAAGCCACGAAAAAAGTCAAACAAAATTACAAAATAAACTACAAAATGAGAGAAATTGTACCTGTTACTCCCTGATAGCTAACATGTAAAACCAATAGGAACGTGAAAGGAACACCCATTTTTCAGCATATGTACAACTTGCCAAGAAATACCTGAGGAACTATTGAGCATTTTTGCCCAATAGAGAAATTCAAATAGGGACATCGTCTCATTGCAGAGAAAAGAAATCACCACAAGATCTAAGGAATGTACATGAGACTGCAGGAGTAAAGAAACTATTTAACCTTGTTGGTGGAAATGTAGGTAAGTAGTTCGGCTACTACTGAAGTCAGTTTTTAAAGTATTCAAAAGACTAAAATTAGTAATTCTCATTAGTGCACTGCTTCCTTTAGTGGGTCTCTTCCTCAAAGAATTAAGGACATATTGCAGTGATTCATGCAGATTCCTGTTACTGCAGCAATAGTCATTTTTCTGTGGAGAGCAGCAGCAAGCACTGCTCCATCACCACCAAATATCAGTGATGAACAATAAATACTCACCAGTGTACTCCATTTGGTAAATGGTGTGATATTTTATTGTGAAATGGGCTGTAAGTTAGGTTTTCCTAGTAGACTATAGGTCAGTATAAACATGATAGTCATGCTAATGTCACAAGGCCATCACTAGTACACTATTATGTTCATTAGATTTGATATATTCATCTTTTTGAGTAAGCATGTTGCTATGAAGTCCAGGCTGGCTTTGAGATCACTTTATAAACCAGAGTGGTCTCAACAAGTCTCCTTCCTCAGGGTC